GCTGTGCACTTCATGGTCGCCGACAATTGCAGCGTCAACCAGTACATTGGTAGTCGTGAGGGTGGTCTACCTATGGTAGGCTGCGCTTCACACAGGCTCAATCTGGCTGTGACGGACTACCTAACCAGCTACGAGGCCCTACTGTCGAAAATCCACGCTCTGATGACTAAGCTCCGAATTATCAAGGGCGAGCCATTCTTCGTCGAGTTACCGACCTGTCGCCCCTCCATCGATATGATACCAGGTGGTCGAGTACCTATGCAATGGTACAACGGTACACGAAGCTAAAACCGGCCCTCAACTCTCTGGGCCACGGTACCCTAGTAGAGTGTGGAATCCAGACACTATTGCTCCAAAAAACCGAGTCGGAATGTGCTCACGAGATTTTAGAAGTTCTTGCCGATTTTGAGGGTGTCACCAAGACTCTACAGCGCTCTACCCTGACACTGTCTGGGGTTCGTCGACTTTTTCGACCTGGTGTGCCAACGGTACTCCCAGCTGAAGCCTCGCCTGTCTCCAACGGCTACCATCGTCAACTACGTGGCACTGGAGACAGGGTTGGTCAAACTTTAGAGGAAGGAGCAGCTCTCTGCTGCAGAGCGCGCTGATTTCCGGCGCACTGGTCGAGACGTGACGGAGGAGACGTCTCCAACGCAGGCTGCACAGCTGTCGCTCGTTCAACAGGCCTTCAAGAAACGCAAAGTCTCGAAGCGCTCCTTGTATGCCGACGTGGCGTTCATACCGCCCACTTCGAACGAGTGTGAAAGGTTCTTTTCGTCGGTGAAGCTCGTGTACTCCGACCTCCGGAAGCGTTTGGATGTTTCTACGCTTGAGGTGCTGATGTTTCTCATGTACAACAGCGATTTGTGGGATGTGTACACAATTGAGTCGGCTAGATTGTAAGAAGCGCATACGCGCTCAAATAATGCAAAAAGTTATTGCATTATTCATTCTTTGCTGTCTTCTGAGCTCATTAATATTACTACGGAATATTGCCTTTCACTGCTTAGAGGTTGGTCAGTGTACATGGTTTCGTTGTGCTGTACCTGAATTGAAGGCCCATCTTGTGCTGGGTCATCCCCATATATCATATATTACGTCACGCACTTGGCCCATGACGACATCGCTTCAAAGAGCTCCAACACCTTCTACAGGTCACTACAACAATCGAGAAATAGTCACCATATTAACTCAACTACTTGCTTTATAGTAGATGAACTGATAACTTCCCGGAGGGTTTAACGCGAAAACCGTAGGTGAACATGAAGTCAGCATACTGTCTCTTGTTCGTGTTGTCTCTCTCATTCATTTTCAGTCGACTGTGAGGACGCCGGTGCACAATTTTCGTGTATTATTGCTTAAGTTCATTGTACGGTCTGTTCCTAAGTAAACTGTTATAGTCCTGTAAGAAGTGACGGAAATTGTCATGCTTCGGGCTCCAAAAGTCGTCACGCTTCGGGTAGTTCTGCTGAAGAGGTCTACGTAGGCCCAGGACCCAACACATCCCGGTGTTCCAGTCTAGCAACTTTCAGAATAGCCCTAGGCGATAAAGCGTTCCTTGGATTTAACCCACGAAAACTACGTGAAATAAATAAACAGATGAATTACTTGCAGTTGCATGTTGCACGAAAATGACCACCGACAGGGTTAACAATTATATGGGTGACTCAAAAGCAGTGCGGTACAAATGATGAGAGGTACGTATTATTTGCATGTTATCAAAGATCGCAAATTTTTGTACACTAATGTACAAGATTTTCGGACAATCTCACCATTTGGTTTACAAAGAGAAGCGTTTTTCAGTCAAGCTTACAAGTATACTTAAGTGTAGTGAAGTAAGAGCATCAATGTGAAGAGGGTACCACTATAGGATCATACATGAAGTTTTCAAGAAAAATCGGATCCCCGATAGACTCTGAAATAGCTTTCAGAGAATATCACTTTTATTAATTGAATTGCAATTTGATTTAGCCTATTTTATCGGTGCATGGTAAACCAATTGAAGCTTTGAATCAGGTGTACAGTGTTTGTACTGATGGCCCAACAAGGTAGTTCTCCGAACTCGAAGAGATCACCCACTTCCACTACCCCTGTGCAATATCCACTTATTCCAGCATCATCTAACGTTCTGGCACCATGGGCACGCCGTCGCCTGAACAGCAGCGACCGGTGCAATCTTCAGCAGATTTCCGGTTGTATGGGGGTCCGAAGGCACTGGAGTATAGCAGCATCGGGTCGAAGCTGCTGCAAATGGCAACGTCGAGTGTCTGAGTCGCCTACAATGCAGCAAGAATCGAAGTCCAAGTCACATGTCTCATCGCGCCAAAGTGCAGCACAGCAGTAACAAACACAAACTCCTACATCTTGCGTTCTCCGTCGCGAAAATATAGACAACCATCTCTGCAGCGGGGCTGCCGTAGCTGAGCGTCAGAGGAAGACGGTTAACTCAATAAGTTATGGGTTAACTCAACACCTTGTTAAAGGTTAATAGGCCTTAATATCCAAAGGCACCTACTAACAACGACCTTAATAAAAGGTCGTTACTCTTTGTGTTCTTAATCCAATACTGTTTATATATCTTTTATTGCGGCAAGCCGCCTATGGGGTAAATGTATGTGGTTAACTATCTAGCATAGTAAAACCTAATCAAATGCATATCGTGTGGCCCTCGGCCTATGTACTGAGGCCACCGTTAACTCTACGAGTCGTGTACTGAGAGTCTGTTAGCTCTTCGGGTACTCCGTACCCATGTGTGCACCACACCCGTGTGACCCCGTTACACTCTCCCCCACTAAGATGAGAACTTACCCGTTCTCGAAAGTACCTCAGCGAGGCCACGTCTTGCCAAGACGTCGGAGG